GTCTAGTCTATAGTCTAGTCTATAATCTAGTCTACAGTCTATTCTATAGTCTAGTCTATAATCTAGTCTATAGTCTAGTCTAGCCTATAGTCTTAACTATAGTCAGTCTATAATCTAGTCTATAGTCTAGTCTATAGTCTAGTCTATAGTCTAGTCTATAGTCTAGTCTATAGTCTAGTCTATAGTCTAGTCTATAGTCTAGTCTATAGTCTAGTCTATAGTCTAGTCTATAGTCTAGTCTATAGTCTAGTCTATAGTCTAGTCTATAGTCTAGTCTATAGTCTAGTCTATAGTCTAGTCTATAGTCTAGTCTATAGTCTAGTCTATAGTCTAGTCTATAGTCTAGTCTATAGTCTAGTCTGTAGTCTGTCTATAGTCTAGTCTATAGTCTAAGTCTGATAGGTCTAGTCTATAGCTAGTCTATAGTCTAGTCTATAGTCTAGTCTATAGTCTAGTCTATAGTCTAGTCTATAGTCTAGTCTATAGTCTAGTCTATAGTCTAGTCTATAGTCTAGTCTAGTCTAGTCTATAGTCTAGTCTATAGTCTAGTCTATAGTCTAGTCTATAGTCTAGTCTATAGTCTAGTCTATAGTCTAGTCTATAGTCTAGTCATAGTCTAGTCTATAGTCTAGTCTATAGTCTAGTCTATAGTTAGTCTATGTCTAGTCTATAGTCTAGTCTAGTTAGTCTAGTCTATCGTCTAGTCCTAGAGTCTAGTCTCTAGTTAGTCTATAGTCTAGTCTATAGTCTAGTCTCTAGTCTAGTCTATAGTCTAGTCTATAGTCTAGTCTATAGTCTAGCTCTAGTCTAGTCTATAGTCTAGTCTATAGTCTAGTCTATAGTCTAGTCTATAGTCTAGTCTATAGTCTAGTCTATAGTCTAGTCTATAGTCTAGTCTATAGTCTAGTCTATAGTCTAGTCCATAGTCTAAGTCTATAGTCTAGTCTATGGTCTAGTCTATATTCTAGTTTATAGTCTAGTCTATAGTCTAGTCTTTAGTCTAGTCTATAGTCTAGTCTATAGTTTAGTCTATAGTCGAGTCTGTAGTCTAGTCTTTAGTCTAGTCTTTAGTCTAGTCTATAGTCTAGTCTATAGTCTAGTCTATAGTCTAGTCTATAGTCTAGTCTATAGTCTAGTCTATAGTCTAGTCTATAGTCTAGTCTATAGTCTAGTCTACAGTCTAGTCTTTAGTCTAGTCTATAGTCTAGTCTATAGTCTAGTCTTAGTTGGTTTTAGCTCTTATAAGTAGAATTGCAATCATCCAAACATTATGTTGATATTTTGGGTTGATTCCGTAACTAATTCCAACTACCATAAATATTTTGAAAAAAATCTCGATTTTTAATGAAGTTTAAAAAAATGTATTTAAATACTTCAACACTACCGACCGACATTTGTTCTCATGTGGGACACGTGTTGTTGCGCCAACATCATACATACTCATACTCTATAATTTTCAATTCAACCACCTAAATTTGCTCTACAACGATCTCAAAGACCCAAGAAAAAGTCTACTATTTAACATAGTATCTGTCAAGGATTCTCGTTACCTTTTATACATATTTAAGGGATGAGTTTTTCTCGTCTGTTATTTATTTGTGATCAGTTTTATTAGCGCGTGTCACGCTTTCATTAATGTCGCGCATTGATCACCAAATTTTGTTTCTGTTATGTTATGCTGGTACTCAGTTTTTCTGGACATAATTTAAATATATGCATTTCCTTATTTTTGCTTAAGGGGACGCTTTTCTCACTTTTGTCGTACGCTGTGTGTGAGTGTGTGAAATATGGGCTTTTTCAGTATTGACCTTTGAAGTTGCGTTTTTCTTTTAGATTAATTAATAGGGGCATCATATTTTTAAACAAAAGAAGGATTTTTTGCAAGAGAATTCAATATTTTTTAATAACTTATAAAATAGTTACTATAACGTAGAAAAATCGTAATATTTATGGAGGGTTTTTTCAGTGCAGAAAACCTGGTACATGGTACATCTAAATTTTTGAGATAAACTAGTAAAATGTATAAGTAGGGTATTATTTCTGTAATAATGACAAAATTTCATTAAAGAGTAAAGTGCTATATTTTCCTATCAAACACATGAAGTCACAGGAAGTCTTGTTCAAGAGATCACGGTGGAGAAGGTGCTAGGGACTAGAGAAAGAGAATGAATTGGGAAACGGAATAAAGAAATCTCATCTATACTTATATGGACAAAACTGAAAATACATATTCTTCAACTATTACGAAAAAGGAGAGGAGTATTCACAGGAAATTCAGAGAAGTAAGGTCCCGAATGTTGAAATATATATTTTGGCATAAGTTCAATGATGTTGCCGATACAATTGTATAAATGAAATATGCCACTAAATTTGGGAATAAGTTGTTAACAAAGAAATCCAGAGTATGAGGAGTTCATCCTATCCGCATACCCAAATGAATATGTATGATAATAGAGTTGTGTGATGGGTTGAATGGTCTTTAATGACCATTTCATATTCATGTGTTAACAATGTAAAATTTAGTTTTTTGTCAGGATATGTCGAGGATTTGTATGGCCTACGGCAGGTTAGACCGGAGATTGTGGGTTCAATTCCCACCTGAGGCACTGGTAACAGGCCGGATCAATGTCAGAGGAAAATGCTATAGTTTCCTATAGAACACATCAAGTCACAGCTGATAACAGTGAAGAATGTGCTAGGGACTACAGAAGTAGAATAAGGGGGGAAATGGAATAGTGAAATCTCTTCTACACTTACATATATGGACTAAAACTGAAGATACATATCCTTCAACTATCACGAAAGGAGGAAATTCAGATAGGTATGATCCCGAATGTTGGGTAAAAGACTGTAGCACGATGAAATTAATCTTTCGCGATAAGTTTTGTGCTCTTGCCGAGACAACAGTATCATAGGAGTAACTGTGGTACTAAATGTTGGGTATAGGTTGATAACAAGAGTATGCGGGGCTCATTCCATCCGCATACCCAAATGAATGTGTAGGAAATAGAGTTGTGTGATGGTCATGAATGAACGAATTTCCTATTCAGTTGTTATCGATGGACAATTCCGTTTTTTGTCAGGGTACGGTAGGTTAGTGTTTAGTATTCTACTTAGGGCGGGTTTCTTACTACTCAGTTAAACTAGGCTTAACTTGCTTTTAGATTAAACTCGGAACAAATTTAGGCAGACTTTAACCGATGATTGTGTTTTTCAGTTATGGATTTAAGTTCAGTTAACTTTGTTAGTATTGCCAACTTTTCACTCAAAAACATAAACGATGAACAGCTGTTTTTTGCAAATAATACTTTTGTAAAATGAAAAATTTTCGAAAAATGTTAAATAATCATTTAAAACAATAATAAATAAAACAAAACAAATCAGAAAATTGCAATTTACTTAAAATATTAAGTTTTTGTTCTTCCGAAATCATTGTTTTAATGTTTTGGTTAATTGTGTCTACTCACTTATAACTTAGGTTTAAACAAAGAATGTAGATTATTTTTATCTGAAAAACCCGCCCTTAGTCTGTTAAACCGGAGGGTTTCTAATGCCTCGATTCCCATCTGAGGCATTAGTAAGAGTGTATTTCTTCGGATTTGTTGTAACATACATCCTCCTTTTACACTAACTAACTAACTAACTAACTAACTAACTAACTAACTAACTAACTAACTAACTAACTAACTAACTAACTAACTAACTAACTAACTAACTAACTAACTAACTAACTAACTAACTAACTAACTACTAACTAACTAACTAACTAACTAACTAACTAACTAACTAACTAACTAACTAACTAACTAACTAACTAACTAACTAACTAACTAACTAACTAACTAACTAACTAACTAACTAACTAACTAACTAACTAACTAACTACTAACTAACTAACTAACTACTAACTAACTAACTAACTAACTAACTAACTAACTAACTAACTAACTAACTAACTAACTAACTAACTAACTAACTAACTAACTAACTAACTAACTAACTAACTAACTAACTACTAACTAACTAACTAACTAACTAACTAACTAACTAACTAACTAACTAACTAACTAACTAACTAACTACTAACTAACTAACTAACTAACTAACTAACTAACTAACTAACTAACTACTAACTAACTAACTAACTAACTAACTAACTAATTAACTAACTAACTAACTAACTAAATAACTAACTAACTAAATAACTAACTAACAAATAACTAACTTGTGTTATTGATGAAAATCGTACTTCGGTTTATCAAATACATCCATATGTACTATTCTACAATCTGCAGAATATGTTCTGGTTTAACGGTGAACGGAGGTTGAAATTTTCTCTTAAATATTCCTGAAATTATTGTCGATACTTCTTCTATAGTAAATCCCTCATTTTTCAAACATTATATTCTTTGTTTTTCTTACTTTGACTCCAAAGATTTGACTTAAATTCTCACACGTTCTTAAGCGTAATGATCACCCCAGTATAAATACATTAAATAACTATCAAGCTTGTTATATAAACATTTTAACATTATAGAACATAATTTACAGCAAAGGATATTTTTTCCCAGGATCTGTTAAATATGCTGGCATAATGTTACCAACGTAGACATGCGACAGAAAGAGGTTTGAAAACATTTGCTAGAATGCAGGAAGTATAAAACGATCTAGGATTTTGTTTTAGTTCAAACACAAGAATCTCACGAGCCAGCATACACCAAACAACAGTTTTCATACAACACACCAGCGAAAGTCAACACGATCACCCATCTCTCTTTCTCGTAAAACGTTAAAGCACAAAATACAAACAAATGCTGATTCGTGGTTGTTGCAGTGCCGGCACAGACACACACACACACACACACACAAGAACAACAACAACAACATAACGGTTTAGGCATAAACACAGCGGGTAAGCGGCCATTACTGTCTTCTGATTGGTGGAAATAAATTGGAAAACACAAACGAGCTAAATTGGGTATAAAAAGACAATCATCACCGTTTGCGGATTCAATTAAGGGCCTCGTGTTCAACGTAGAACAACGTCGCACACGTATTGTTGTTAACTTTGAAATAATAATCAAAAAATATAAGAAAAAATAAAAAATACAAGTGTTTTTGCAAACTAATAAAAAAAAAAGATTTCTTTCTTTGAAAAGAAAACAGGAATTTTTTTTTAATTCTGTAAAGAAAGAAAAAATAAAACCAACTAAATATAGTTGAGGATTTTTAGTAATTGTGAAAAATTTATTTGCGTTTGAATTTAATGCAATTAATTAATTTACATAAACACACAACTTGTGCGCCAATATCATCAATTTAATTAATTGAATTTGATTTAATTTTTACGCGCGCTGCCACATTGATTAAACACAGTATGAACGGATTAAGTTACAAAACCAACGAAACATTTAAATTAAACCAAAAACAATTAAGTTAAACTACTTAAATAAACGTGTGAAATTTTCAATTAAAAGTTTTTGCAAACTGAAACAAATAAACTAAAAACATTTTATAAAGTTCCTATATTAAAAAAAAAAATAAAAAACTATTATAAAAAAATATATGTGCATTGCCTGAAAACATGGAGCACTCAGCATTTGAAGATGGAATATTTAGTGATTTTGCAGGACCTTTAAGTCCTTTGGATGGTAAACCCTTGACACCCACCTCGGTGGCACATGGCATGCACTCAGTAATGCTAAGTTTACCGCCAGGAGCTACTGTCATGCATCAGAGCAATAATTCGGATTTGTGTTCGCAACGTTTGCCGGATTGTCAAACTTTGCTATCGGCCGGATCACCTAAAATGGATCCTTACAAAGCTTCCACTCCCGATTATGAAGCAAAAATGGAATATGTCACAAAAATGGGTTGTTATTCACCTACACAAAAATATGAATATCTAACAGGAGCCACAAATGGTAGTGCGGCTCATAAGTTAGAACATCATCAGCAATATTCTCCTCCACCGTCTACCACAACTAATGGTTTACAACAACATCATCATAAACTACAACAAATGCCCAGTCATCTGCATCACCATCAGCAGCAACCGCAACAACATCATCACCATCAACAGCAACAACATCATTCACCCAGTGGCATGTTAAGTGATTATCATCATCATGTCTTGCAGCAACATTCCAATGGTAAATTGGACTATGATCCCCATCATCATCATCATCAGCAGCCACAACATATTTCTCACATCTATGGCAGTCCCCATCACAATCCCCACCATAGCCATGAACTCATTAACGGCTCTAATGAGCAACATAATATGTCGTTAACAACAAATGGCTTAATCAACACCAACACTTCAAACTCCTCAAGCAATGGCAATACCGACGGGGGTCTCTTGCAGCCCTCCTTAGGTGCCGTCGGTCCTTCAACCGTTATCTCTACAACAAATTCAAATACCAATAGTTTGTCTTCGTCCTCTTCATCGTCTAATAATCTTAACCCATCACCCACTGGTGGGGGTCTAACGAATGGCATGAAACTTAATAATAAAGGTAAACATGATGATATTTGTTCGCCGCCTCCCCATCATGGTGTCGATGGTATCAATTCTAATGGTGTCAACTCAGTGGGCAGTAATAATGCCGCCGTATCGAATAATAGTAATAATAGCAATAATAATACGCCACCAGCTGTCAAGAAAAACGATAAAAAGAAGGGTGATCCAAATGGCATAAAAAAGAAGAAGACAAGGTAAGGATTTAATGAACAATTAGAGAAATTATTAATTTCGATTATTATTAATAAACAGAGGATTTAATTTGTGGTTTAGGTATTGTGAAAGCTCTATAGTATCGGCTACTGATCCGTTTAAATTTATATCAGTTTAAAATAAATTAAACTTTTGGTCCTTTAAGTTACCATTTCCCAACTCTTTTTAGTTTTTATCGGTTATAATAGTTTCTTATTGTCAATCCTTTGTTTCCAAAATTTTCAGATTTTCAAATTTTTGTTAAAACTTTTGGCTTCGTGGCTTTTCGAGGACTCGAAAGTTTTACGATTTCCGAAGTACTTCCATAAAATTTTAGATTACATTTTCACAAAAGTAGAAAGAAGTTAATCCTTAAAATGCGAACTGCTTTCGTGGCTATTTCTGAACTCTAAAGTTTTACGATTTCCCAAGTACTCCAATCAATATTTTATGAGATTTCTCAAGGACCTCTGAGATTTCTCTAAAGCCTCTGTGATAAGTTTTCTCATTTACTATTTTTCTTATAAATTTATATTCACATACATAGATCCATGACTCAAAGTCCCACAGATAGAAATTGAAATCGATCATTAAACAAACTGGTCATTCGACATCCCAAGTCCTTCAATTCCTGATCCTCAATTTGCGTTAAAGAAAATTCGTTTAGCATGCTTCAATATCTCTTATCTGCCTTTTACTTGGGTATATCCAAACATCAATTCTGGATAGGTCCACAGTGTCGTGCAATGTCGGAATACCCAAAGTAGCAGTTCTAATAGGGCGGCACAGAGGAAATGTTTAATAGTCGCCTCCATGTCATGATAACTTTTACCAAAGATGTCATTGTAGGAAAGATTTAGTCTTCTAGCATGTGCATCTATTTTACAGTGCCCTCTCAATATGGCTACCAACAGTAGCCTTATAGTCGCTCTTGAAAATCCCAACAAACTATGAGACCTTTTACTATCATAGAGAGGCCAAGTGACCTTGGGCTTCCCTGAAAACTAAGACACGATAACAGGTTATCCGACTTGGAGTGTATGAGAATATTTCCTGGTTTCACAATCCGACGGTCTGAAGTTGTTTCGAAATTGCATTCCAAATGCTTCACTAAGGAAATAGTTTCTGTCTTATTGAAGTAATTTTCCAACAGGATCAAATGAATCTCAAAGAAAACTTCCAATATAAGTGCATCCGACTTTGAATATATGTCAACGATATCACAGGAATGTTGATGACGTCGGCTTTCGCGAAAAGTAAGACCCGATGATACCTTATACGACTTTGAGTTTATAGAAAGGTCTCACTTATTTGACAATTACTTCATATTTTTACTAAACAGAAACTCAGTAAGGCTGCTTATCTCTAGGTCTAGTTTATTTGATTTCCGATCAAAGGAATGGTACAGATTTCATTCAAATTTAGAACAAAACACAATAGTTTAGAATGTATGCTTTGATTATTTCATGCCATCTTTTGCTTATATTTTACTTTTACATACTTTCCATACAATTTAATTAAACTATTTCCTTCTCTTCTCGCTTTCAGAACTACCTTTACTGCCTATCAACTAGAAGAGCTAGAACGAGCCTTCGAAAGAGCCCCCTACCCTGATGTCTTTGCCCGCGAAGAATTAGCCATTAAATTGAATTTGAGTGAGTCAAGAGTACAAGTCTGGTTTCAAAACCGTCGTGCCAAATGGCGTAAACATGAGCCGCCACGTAAAACTGGTTATATTAAGACTAGTACACCGCCCAATTCCACTTTGAACACCACACTGGCAGCACCCTTTGCCACATTTCCACAAACAACAACTGTTACACCGCCCGGTAGTATGGATAGCTGGACCAGCTATCAGCCACCCTATGAATTAAGTCCACAATTTAGTTTACTCTCACCGGCGGCTAGTCCCTATGGTACCTATACCAGTCAATATGGCACATACGTGCATGAATCACAAATCTTTCCTATGCGTCACTTTGAATATGGTTCACCTACACGTGTAGAAATGACAACAGCAGGTGCTGGAGCAGAGGATACACAAAAACTTCATACACACGATGGTTCCGCCTACATGGGACAATCACCCATGTTGGGTGGTGAGGATAATGGTGGGGCCACACATTTGCAAGATGTCAATACAGTGCAATTGGTACATCAGCAAAACGGTTCAGAACCCAAATATATGAGTGTGGGTGCTGGTGGTAGTGTAGCGCAAGCTATAAACCCCTTAGAAGAAAATGGCTCAATTGTTTGTCATTTAAGTCGTGATCCTCAACAGCAACAAACGGCTGCTGCACAGCAACAGCATGATAATGGGGTAACAGTACTGAAACAACATAATTATACAAGTGTTGGTACACCGAATGCCACACAGGAGGAGGAAAACGGTTTGCAAATAAAAAGTGAAGAATCCTCTCCTGCACATCATCAGCAACAACAACAACAGCAGCAGCAACAACAGAATGGTGGCGTTAGCCACAATTATGTATTGCCTCCTTTTTTGCATTAAAAGAAATGCTGGCACATCAGAAAACACCGTTAATGTTTAATAATCAACATACTATAACGGAAATACGTAAGAGATGGCAACAGCGCAAACAACAGGAAATGAATTTCAAGTTTAAACATTTCCGGCGGCCATTTTGATGTCAAGACGTTTATTTTGAAAAGTATGTAGTGGTGCCTGTGTCAAGCATTTCTCTTGTTATATAGTTTTTTATTTTGTTTAATTTTAAATATTTTACTAGTAGTTTTTACAATAGAATTTTAACAACAAAATCCAAAGTCTTGTCCAAAAGTTTAGTTTAAGAAATATTTGTTCTTTTTTTAACAAAGTTTGTAAATTTCACCAAAAATAATGAATACATTCCAAATGTGCCTTAAATTAGTTTTAGAGCTAAAAGCCCAGCAGAGGTTTTAATAATTTATCTTAAATTTAAAAAGCGCGAAAAAAATGATTTGTAAAGTTTATAAATTGCCTTAGAACTTTTCAAATCATTTCTCTCACCTTTAGCTTATAAGTTTTTAAAGTTCCATTGCTAGCTGTAAGTTTTTCCTTAAATAAGTGTAAATTTTTCTTTAACTCCCAATGCATTCCAAATGTGCCTTTTTTTTAAAACATAATTTATTAATTTGTACTCTTTTAGATTTATAGCAAAAACAAGCAAAAATCCCAAAATAAAACTGTTGTGTTTTTTGTGACAATAATTATATATTTATTTATAAGATAATTTCCAATGTTAAATTTTTGTGACCAAAAATAGTCTTAAACTTATTATAACTCATATTTATATTTAATTGTATTTAATTCATTTAAGTTATTTAAGTATATAATTTAAATCAATTATAAGAATTTATAGTAAATTAAAATAATAGTAATTTAATTGTAATGTTTTTGCAATGTATTATGTACTATTTGTAATTTAATTCTTTTTTTTATAAATTTTTAATAAAAATAAGTAAATTAAAAAAAAATAACATAACAAAAAATATAGGAAAATAATTTAACTAAAGAAAAACAACAAAATAATTTATAAAACTTATAACAAAATAGTGTAGAAAATAACTAAAACAAAGTAGCAAAAGTTACTTTAATAAAAAAAAGTACCAACTTAGACCATCGTAATATTCGCGAATATTACTTGAATGCAAACTATTCTATTCGTTTATTCAAAATGCTTATTAGAAAGCAGTGAAATAAAAATATTAGAATGGTACTATAAGAATGTACCAACTTAATACCATCACAATATTCGCGAATAGTACTTGAATGCAAACTATTCTATTCGTTTATTTAAAATGCTTATTAGTAAGCAGTAAAAGGATTTTTATCTCCTAATCATATGTATTGTTAGTTTCTAAAATTTATTATACATTATTTTGATATTTTAATTAATTAATTACTTTTAGAATATTATTCAGAGGTTCAAAACTCCCAATTCATAATTCAATTTTAATAATCAAACCTAAATTTTAAGATACTTCATATGAAAATCGCAATATTCGCGAATATTACTCGTATGCAAACTATATTCTACGTTTATTTAAAATTCTCATTTGGAAGCAGTGAAATAAAAATGTATTCTTAATTAATACTTTCATAATGGAAAGGATTTTGATATCTTAATCATGCGTATTCCTTAGTTCCTGAAATTTTGAATTCATTCTTCTGATATTTTGATTCATTATTGAATTCAAAAAGTAATGAATTTTATTAAGAGGTTCAAAAGTCTCAATATGCCTCAATTCGGCCTGCCTTGGTATTCATCCACAAGGGGTGGGGGAAGGCTTCACATACTAGACCGAAGGTTTTTATTTGAATGCAGTAATTAATACTTTCATGATGGAAAGGATTTTGATATCTTAATCATGCGTATTCCTTAGTTCCTGAAATTTTGAATTCATTCTTCTAAAATTTTGATTCATTATTGAATTCAAAAAGTAATGAATTTTATTAAGAGGTTCAAAAGTCTCAATCTGCCCCTGGCTGGTACAGATCTTTTCGGCCTGCTTTGGTATTCATCCCCAAGGGGTGGGGGAAGGCTTCACATACTAGACCGAGACCTTTTTTGGAACGAATCATTGATCTAAGGTCTACGATTAATTCTGATCTTGTTTCAGCGTCTCAACATCTGTTGGGACTGCTCTATATTTGCTTGTAGGTTTTGTTGAAAAAGCCACAAGAAATTCGCATTAGTGGGCCACACCAAAAAGAGGAGTTATATCACCTCTCCTCTGGAATTTAGCAATTAGAGGGTCTGGCCATGATTCTATCTTGGGTAATACGACCTACATACCTAGTAACTTCTCAGAGTTGATAACGACTGACCCATTTCATTTAGTAGATGACGGATCGAAGTCAGCAAAGGGTGTGGGAAGTGCCTTCTACATTCCCTTGTTTAATAAAAGGATGAGCTTTAAGCTGTACGGCCAATGCAGTACATTACAAGCTGAAATCTCAGCCATAAAAAAAAGCGGCAAACTGGATGAAGGACTATAGGATATTAAATAGGAATATTCGTATATGTACTAACAGCAAGTTTGCAACCAAATCTCTAAATGGAGTCTATACGACACTGAAAAGTGCAGCCGCGCTAAATATCTTCTGCGCCACCAAAAGCGCGACTTTATTCTTCACCTAAGTGATGAATTTCCAATGAACGCCTGTTTAACAACGTTGTCCGGGTATGTATTTCGGATATCATCTCGCTCATCTACAACTTTGCATCTGCTAAGAAATACGGTCGTTAAACGGATATTCAATCTGCAGAAATATAGAGCCTCTGTGTTGGTAACATTTTCGCGGGACTTCCTCTTAGGTTGGTATACGTTAGAGGATACTGAAAGATTATTGATAGGTAAATTATACGAAGTTGACCACGATTGCTTTATATACCGATGGCATTGAGACAAGATTAAAATGGTCCCCATCTAACGGTCCCTAATGTTGGTTGGGACGCCTGTTTGACAACGTTGTCCGGGTATGTATTTCGGATATCATCTCGCTCATCTACAACTTTGCATCTGCTAAGAAATACGGTCGTTAAACGGATATTCAATCTGCAGAAATATAGAGCCTCTGTGTTGGTAACATTTTCGCGGGACTTGGCTTGGGACGATGGCATTGAGACAAGATTAAAATGGTTGGATCAATACTAAGAATCGATCGGACAACGATTTGCTATATTGCAACAGTTTAGCTCTTGTTGGAAACTCTTCCCTTTAGTAAAAACTTCCAGTTGATGAAGATGTTGGTGTGTTGACAATTATTTGCTGATTGCGAATCGCGTTGTTCCGTAGCACATGGCCTCTAGACAGTTTTCCGCCTCCAATAACGCGACGCTCTAGACCTCCTTTAAGCAACAGTGTCAGAGAGTTCTGAAATAAAATATCTAACAATGACCTTTTCTCGAGATGGTAATACATATACTGATCTTCTGCTTATTGGCATATTGATTTTACCGATCTGACCACAATACGGTCTTCAACGTTGAGCCTGGTGCGATCTTCTTGAAAAACCTAGTATCATACATTTTTCCCTGGACCACAATGATCAAAATATTATTTTGCTGCATGTATCGGGATCAATCCCACTCTTTACAATTAAGTTATTTAAAAATTACAAATAAATATTCCATTATCTTTTCGAACCTAAATTATTTTGGTTATTTACTAATATAAATTAAATACTATACTTCTATTTACTAATTACATTTATTAATAAACATTTTATATTTAAAATTTTAGCAAACCGTTTCATTTAATTCCTTGAGTTATCATTCCACTTAAAATTATCACTGGTTGTCGGTTGTGTATAAAACTTAAATATTTTGAAATTTTTATAAAAATTTCACTTTTGTGTAAAATTATTGTAACCATTTTGTTTTACCTCCTCCCAGTTGGTACCTTCAAAATAACGATGCTTTTTAATTTTCTCATAATCTAGACGTTCCTCGGGAGTTTGTTGTAGTAATTTTTCCAATAAATCTTTGGCAGCATCAGATATTTCAGCATTTTCGGGATATTGTACGAAGCCATATAAATCAATTTGTCCCGGATGAGCTGCTTTAAATGACTGGTTTATGGAAGTGGTTTATTTTTTTGTTTAATTATGTTTTTTTGTTTGATAGTTATAAAACATTAACACAAAAAGCACTTGGGGTTTAGGATATGATTTACAAATATAAAATGACTTTTATGAAAATGAATAAAATAATAATTCGTGGTAAAAAATTACAAAAGTTTACGTTTAAAAAGAAAACAAGTGATTTCTATTTTATAGTGAAATTAAAAATAAAAGCAAACCACCAATACAACACAAATGGAATAGTACATTTGTTAAAATGAAAAGTAAATAAGTATAAGTTAATGAACTGAATTTGTTTGTTTGAAAATTTAGATTGAAAATAAGTTTCACAATGGAGACAGGAATCCTGAGGCTATAATATGGCCCACAATTCATGATAGTTCTTTACACTACATCGAGTTTAGACAAGCTCGTTCTCTATATTTACCTATAGATTACAGGAGTATGCAAGTATTTTTCTTGTGTGAACAATTGCAAGATTTCAAAGCTATCTACTTATCTTTGACCTCTTCAATAACGATTTTAAGAATATAATTGTTTCTTCTGATAGGCTTCCATAGGGGTTTATTTAAACATTCTTAAAGATGCGAACCTTTTTTAAACGGATTCTTAAAAATACTCTTAAGGAAGACCTTTATAATCCAATCAGACCTTACAGTTTTCATCGAAATTTTCAAAAAAAAAAAAAAAAACATGTTTTTATGTATTGGAAGCTAAATTGTTCTTTCGAAGTGAACTATTTTCAGATCATATGGTAGCGAAACTTCACATTGTTTTTATACATTGTTTAGTAGCGCGCTACTAAACTAATCATAACACTAGTTTTAGTGGACAAGATAAGTCTCAGTAGATTGGTAGATGTTTTAACCTGTTGTCGCTACAGAAGGCGCTTTATCAACAAATTGAACAAGAACCACAACAATTGTATAAAGAAGTACCCTAGTTATAATATGTATTTACTTGGTAAAATATTGCCATAATAATAATGGGTGATTTTAAGCCCGAAAGGGTGGAAGAGCGGGAGAAAGGAAGGCGAGCGAGCTAGAGCGAGCGAGCGAGCGAGCGAGCGAGCGAGCGAGCGAGCGAGCGAGGAGGAGCGAGCGAGCGAGCGAGCGAGCGAGCGAGAGAGGAGCGAGCGAGCGAGCGAGCGAGCGAGCGAGCGAGAGAGCGAGCGAGCAGCAGCGAGCGAGCGAGCGAGCGAGCGAGCGAGCGAGCGAGCGAGCGAGCGAGCGAGCGAGCGAGCGAGCGAGCGAGCGAGCGAGCGAGCGAGCGAGCGAGCGAGCGAGCGAGCTAGCGAGCGAGCGAGCGAGCGAGCGAGCGAGGAGCGAGCGAGCGAGCGAGCGAGAGCGAGCGAGCGAGCGAGCGAGCGAGCGAGCGAGCGAGCGAAGCGAGAGAGCGAGCGAGCGAGCAGCGAGCGAGCGAGCGAGCGAGGCGAGAGAGCGAGCGAGAGAGCGAGCGAGCGAGCGAGCGAGCGAGCGAGCGAGCGAGCGAGCGAGCGAGCGAGCAGCGAGCTATCTATCTATTAGATCGACTATATCTATCATCCTATCTATCTATCTTCTATCTATATATCTATTCTATCTATCTATCTATCTATCTATCTATCTATCTATCTATTCTATCTATCTATCTATCTATCTATCTATCTATCTATCTATCTATCTATATATCTATCTATATATCTATCTATATCTATCTATCTATCTATCTATCTATCCTATCTATCTATCTATCATCTATCTATCTATCTATCTATCATTCTATCTATCTATCTATCTACCTATCTATCTATCTATTCGGTATTTTATTATAAAACAAAACTTCGGTAAAATGTATAAATGCATGTACACAAAAACCATACATAGTTAATATAATAAAAGATTATGTTAGGTTAGGTGATAGGAGGATGTATAATACATCAAACCCAAGGAAAAATACCTAGGACTTGTCGAGCGCTAATATTATAATGCGGTGAAATAAAAATATATAAAAAGAATTTCGTAATATAATAAAAAAATAATAATAAATAAGATAATAAATTTCTTTATATAATGAAGTAATGCTTATGAAATTTGAATTGAAAATGTTAATGTCTGTCTACTAGTGTTTATTCTAACTTTAAAAACATGTATGTATTTTGATTCAATTTGTGTGCAATATATGATTTCATTTAAGCGGTATTCATGCAAGCATTTTAGTTGCATATAATAAAAATAAAAAGAAATAAAAATTCCACTTACCAAACCCAAAAATAATTCATATAATATAACACCATAACTCCACCAATCTGAACGTAATGTTAATGGGCGTTCTGGCGCAACAAAATGTTCATCCAAAGCTTTTGGACTTAGAGCTTTGTGTATGCAACTGTCCGAAGAGACTCCTTCATTTTGATAGAAATATGTTAAAAGTAATTGACCATTTTCATTTAATAATAAATTGTCCATGTGTAGATCACTGAAAAGGATTAAAAATTTAAAAATAATTAAAAATAAGAAATGTTCTACATCGGTTCTAGTTTATTTCCAGTTTAGTTCAGTTCTAGTTGATTTCTAGTTCAGTATTAGTTCAGTTCTATTTGATTTCTAGTTCAGTATTAGTTCAGTTCTAGTTCTAGGTTAATTTCTACTTACCTCAATATAACACTTTTTTCATGTAAAGCATGTATGGCAACCAATAACTGTTGTGACCACATTTTAAGTTGATTTTCAGGTATTTTCGAATGAAACGACGGCATTTTACGAGGACTGCGACGTGGTGATTTGTGTGGCGGAGATTCCAAATCTTTAATAACTTGTAAAGTATTCGATACTGATTGTAATAACTGTTTAGAATTGTTTAACAAATCGTTAACTTCTAAGGGTTTATTGCAGTATTGGCCTCTCACATCCATTTCTTTGAAAAGTTGTGTTACAATGTAATCCGATAGTTTACCACCCAAGGCCAGCTTGAGTAGAAGGAATATTTTTTGATCTGACTGAAAAAAGGCCAACAAGTCGACCATATAGGGAACATGTTGGGGTAAAAATACAGTTTGTGTGGGCGAATTGCTAGAGGGTTTCTCAATGCCCTTCATAACATAGGAGGGTTTTAAATGCTCTGTTATGCAGGTGACATGCAAAACCTTATTGCCTAGCAAACGATTGACCTTATATTTAGCCATATGATTCCAAGGTCTTTCTAAATACAGGCCAGAGGAATCGGAAGCTGTATTACCGGAGACATCTATAGCCAATTGGAAGTTATTTTTAGGGGAAGCAGTTAATGATCTATGAGAATTTTTCAAAAAACGTTCATGTATATCTTCAGCTCTGGCCAAATATTTGGTTATTTTAGCTTTTGCTATAAATTTTCTCTCCTCGCTATTGTCATCTTTAGATCCGTATAAAAGTATATCAACCCCACGTTTATAGCGTGTATGAGCTTCCGTATATTCCAAATTTGCCTCTGCTTGTACAGCCTGTGAAAATTCTAATGCTGCTTCGTATATATAATCGCTATCATCACTTTCTATAGATGCCATGGGGGTTAAAAAATGTTTTGGATGTTTCTTAACATTTGCATTGTATTCAGCTTTAAGACTTTCATCTTCCTCATCGTCGTCTTCTTCCTCCTCCTCCTGTCCCTCCTCACCATCTTCTATCTCTACTACCACTTGTTCTTTTGCATTACGTTGTTCGTCTTGTTGTTGTGTTGTTGTCGTCGTCGTTGTCTCAACAACATGATTTATTACTGCCGACGTTTTCTTATCAGGTAATTCTTTTCTGGCAAAATCTATTTGATCTTGCAATATTTCCAAATTTTTATTTAAACCTCTGACGGCCTTATGCACCAGTGTTTGGATTTTATTAGGGGGCGTAGTTTCGTTGAAAAATTGAGCAAATGCATGACATTTATACAAGGCCGTATGCTGGGCAGCATAGTCCAGTAATTGCAAAATATATTCCTTGCGCTTCTGTATAATATCGTTATCGAAACGTTTAAAGAAAGAACAATCTATAGGCTCTGGCAAATAACCTGGTAATTGCAAACTCTTATGGCGTCGCTTGAGATCACGATGAAGTCGTTTAACATCATGAAAACGACGCCATACCACAATTTGTGTTAGAGCCTGTGGCACAGATCTGGGAAAAACCTTTAAAAGTAAATTTAAGTATATTTAAGTAAATACAAATTAAAAAACAACTTACAATAGAGGTAATTTTATACAAAGTATAACCACCCTTATGGGTTTGGGTATCGGTCACCGTAAAATTGTGAATCCAGCCACCTAAATCAGGTGCCATATTGTTGCAAATATTTTGGTTTCAATTTATCAGTATTTACAATTTATTTATTAATAATTGACATTTCACTAAAATTTAAAACATTTTGCTTATATTAAGTATTTTATATAGTTCACTTTTTAAATTCTAAGTTTTTCTACAAATATTTTTTTCCAAATAGTAAAAAATAACAAATGCCGCTTCTTTTTTTCTTTATAAAACACTCACACACAATTGATAGCCCTTATCAGTGAATTAATTTAACGGTATTCACCAAACAATACCAAAGACATCAATTTATAGTTTTTGTTGTAATTTTGTAGCAACAAAAGAAGTTTGGCAATGCGAAAAGTTTTCAAAATTTTATTTTTTATAATATAATTTTATATAAAGGAAATTTATTGTTTTTGTTATAATTATGTGCCTTTGTTGGGTAGCTGAAACAAAAAGTTGACTTTTAGACATTTGTAATTCATGAAAAGTCGATTTTTCAACTTGTTTGTATTTTAAAAAATTGTTCTACAATTTTCAAATTGTCGACTTTTTTTAACTTCTTTACATTTTTCGATTTTTGTAGGCTTTGTTAACTTTTTTAATTCTTTTTCAATATTTAGTATGTTAAAAATATAAAGTTTCTAGTTTAATATGTTTGCAAAAAAATATAAGTATTATTAAAACTATTTTTATTATGTACGTTTTTAACATAACTATGTCCATTTGTACCAAAATAAAAATAAGCTTTTAATTATTTTTTATATCGACTTTTTTTTAACTTTTTTTCAGCTCTTCAACATTTTTCGACTTTTTCAATTTATTCCAACTTTTTCGACTTATTTCGACTTTTAACTTCAAAGTCGGCTTTTAGACTTTTTTTGAACAAAATAGTTGACTTCGACTTTATTCCACAAAAAGTCTATTGCTTGAAAATTGATTTTACAAAACTCTAATTAATCGTAGTCGCCGATAGAAACTGGCCATTACCGAAAAAAAGCCAAAATAAGATTTTATTTTCACCGCTTTAAAACGGTGAATACATATAGAGATATAATTTTCTGAATAAAATGTCACAGAGTTTATATTAGTCGATGCACAAACTTTCCATAACAGGCCTACGATACCGATTATTCTATAACTCCCTGGTTCACTGTCTTAGAACACTTTTCAAAAAAACTAATATAATTTTATTTCCCAAAAAAAAATCACATCTGGCAACACAATTTTATCATTTATTCCTACTATTTTGAAAATACAACCCTACCTTTTATATGCCGCAAACAAAATTGCATTGCCAATTATTTTGCATACTAGGCATTGCGAGCTACAAAACTACAAAAAAGAATGCTACCAATATATAACTGAAAAATTTTTAAATTTTCTACACATTAGCAGTAGCCAAAAAGAGATGACTATATTGAAAGCATTTTAGGTGCGGCCATATTGATTGTAGCAAGCGACAAAGAACGAAAAACTAGTGTGACAACGATTCTATACAAATCGAAAAAAGCAGCGGCGGCGTAAAGACGACGGAGATCATCAAACCAGCTGAAAAGTGTGTATTTATTTAGTAAATAATTAATTAAAAAAAGTAATAAATAAAATAGAATAAATAAATAATAATAAAAGAAATAAATTGGCATAAGACTTGCAGTGTTTTAAAGAAAGAGTTATTTTCTCAAAAGAAAAGCAAATAAAACAAACAATTTCTTTTTCTTCTCCCCCTCTCTCTCTCTCTCTGACCAGGATTTACACAGCGACGACCATACCCTGCGTACACCCAACGACATTGAAAAAATACAACAACAAAAAAGTATAGAAGAAGCGGCGCTTGTCAGAGAAACACACAAAAAGAAAAACGTAGTAGAGAAAAAAACGTCGAGCAAAAAAGCTTTAAAACAGAAAGAAAAAAATTCGGAACGAAGGCGACGAGCAAAAATTTTTTTTGAAATCACACACAAAAAAAAGCACAACGACGCCGGGATTAAACGAAATTTTTTAATTTAAAATTAGAAAAAATCGTAAAAGGATTTTTTTTACACAAAAAGAAAAAACAAGTTTTATTCAACTCTACACAAATTAAATATTTTGCACAATGTCTGAACGTGAAAATAATGTTTACAAGGCTAAATTAGCCGAACAAGCAGAACGCTATGATGGTGAGTAATATACAGAAAAAATATCTTCTAGAACTGTTTAAGAAAAAAGTGAAAAAAAAAAAGAAATCTGAATTTGTGATTTTGTAAACTTGCTGCCCTCCGGAACACACTTTTTGGATTAGTTTAAGAGGGCTAGAGTTGCAAAAAATCAAAAAAGTTAGATTTTTTCATTCTATATCTATTAAATTTTAAAAAATGTGTATGCATGTGCTCATGTGGGGCTGTTTCGAGTTGTCTGTCTTATTTTTTTCCATAAAAAACGTTTTGGTGCGTCAGCAGCAGGGTTGGCAAAATTGGTACAATTGTACTTTTTTATACAATTCGATCTTTAAAAGTGTACACTGGTACACCAATGACCTATTTGGTAAAATTTTAAATTTAGTATTTTGCTGATTGAAATAATCTAACCGAAAATTAAAAGGAAGGAATAGACGTTTAAAGACTACGGGTTAGTCTAATGACTTTACTTCGGTCTAGTCTATGAATTAGTCTTTGAGCTATTGTATAGGCTAGTCTATTGTGTAGTCTACAGATTAATCTATTGTGTAGTCTATGGACTAGTCTTTTATCTAGTCTAAAGAATATGAATATGAAGAATATGAATTAGTCTTTGTATTATTCTATAGACTGAACGATTGTCTAGTCTTTGTACTAAACGGATATCTATTCTATTAAATAATCGATTATCTAGGCTATAGACAAGACTTTTCTCTTATCTATAGATTTGTTATTTCTCTAGTCTATAGACTAGTCTATTGACTAATTCACTCTTTTGACAAATCCATGAATTAAAACAAAAATAAATCGAGTTGAAATGATTTTTTTATATTGATACAAGTTTGCAAAAAAATATTGATTTAGCATAATCGGAAACAAAAAGTACAATTTAAAAATTGCACTTGCCATCCCTGGTTCAGCAACACTAGAGTAGTTAGCCCAACAAATTATGGTCTTTAAAGTCTTTTAAATAAAAAACGATGAGTAAATTTTTCCTAGAAATTGAAAGAATATAAAAACAAAAAACCAGTTCTTTTACCGGCTTGAAAATTGGCGTGTTTTTTCAATTAAATACAATGTATATAAAGAAAATTTTAAATTATTTAAATTTTTGGCAAAAAAGAATGTTCTGAAAAAAATCAAGTGTATACATAATTTTCCTTTAACGAGTTGAAATAAATCTATATATGGGGGTGGGGGTTAAAAAACCCTAAAATTTTTCCTTTTAGGGTGGTGGCGTTAGTGTGTAAACTAAAGATATTGAAAGTATATCTAATTTTTATAGAATAATTCCTTTCCTAAAATTGAACATCAAATAATTTTATATTTTTTCTTAAAGAAAAAATATTTTCCAAAAAAATGTGGTTTTTACTTCTATTAACAACATCGTCATTATCTTCGTCATCATCATCATGTTGTTTTTTTCGCTATATCTTCCATTTCACTTGCTTTAGTTGTTTGCTTTTGCATTTGAATCCTGTTAGCGTGAATAGTTCAACTAGATATAAACTTTTTTTCGCATATTACTTTTATTCTTCTTTCTTCTTCCTCCTCTTTGGTGTTTGTGTTAACTTCTCTTTTTTTTTCTTTTATTAAAATATTTCTTTTTTGTTCGTCTGTTTCTTTATTTTATTCCTTTGAATATTTTTTAGTTCTTTTCATTTCTTGTTATTTTTTCATAATTCTTTTGGATATTTTTGAAGTTTTTATGTTTTGTAGATTTTCTTTTATATGTATTTCGTTTTTTTTTGCTTCTCTTTATATTTTGTATAAGCGCGAAAAATCGATGAATGAATCGATCGTTGTTGCTCTGCGCGTTGACAACCACAACCTTCATGAGTGTATGTGTTTGAATAGATGTGTGTGTGTGTTTGTTTGTAATTATAGGGTTACCATGACGTACTTTTTTTCATTTATTACACAAACTCAAGAATTTTATTTTTCAATTCCTAATTACTTTTACAATTTACAAAAGGTTTATAAAAGAGATTTCCCATATAAGATTTGTTTTATAAACCATTGTTAAAATTAAAAAGTATTTACGAAGCAGGTTAGAAATTTTTAATTAAACAAAAGATAACTTCTAATAGGGAGTGAAAAATATGATTCACTTTATACCTATTTACATAATTTTTTTCGAAAAATATCTGTTAATATTTGTTTAAATAGTAAAGGAAAATTTGTTAGTTATAAAAGTGCAAATATTTTATATATTGATTATATTATTGACACATATCTATTATTTATTTAATGTCACATTTTTGACTAATTACTTGGACTTGGTAGTTTTGTATAAAGTTCTAAGGGCGAGTTTTTAACACTCAGTTAAATATAGTTTAACTTGCTGAAACAAATTTTGACAGAGTTTAACCGATGTTTATGTTTTTCTGTAACGAGTTAATAGACGCTAACTTTATTAGAATTGCCAACTTTATGGACAAAAAACATAAAGAATAAACAGCTGTTTTTGATAAACATTAGTTTTGCAAAATGAAAAATTAAAAAAAAAAATAAAATAATCACTGAAAATAATAATAAAATTGATAAAATAAATCCAAAAATTACTATTAACAAACCAACCAGAACAGTGGGAGTCATTTGACAGTCGCTATTTATGAAAATGTCCATCATTGCGTAGAACATAGTTTCTATCATGTTTTTAAAGACAGTATGAAATATTGCCATTACGGTCTATAGTGTGGTATATTATCCAGTTTATATTTGGTCTATAGCACAGTTTTTAATCTATTGTATAGTTTAGTCTATAGTCTGGCATAGTCTAGAGTCGAGTCTATAATCTGGTCCATAGTCTAGTGTAAATTGTTATTTGTAGTAAACTCTGTAGTCCACTCTATGGTCTGGTCTATAGTTCAGTCAATAGTACACTCTATTGTCTGATATATAGGCTTGTCTATAGTCCACTCCGGTTTATAGTCTTGTCTGAAGTCTGGTCTGTAGTGTGGTAGGTATATAGTTTGATCTTTAGTTTGAATTATTCCTATTCTGGTATATAGTGTAG